GAGTCTCGGGGGATCGAACGTGTGGTTGCAGGTGATGTTGAAGCTGTCGCTCTGGTAGCAGCCGGGTGTCGTGCCGAATGGGTACGGGATGCTGACGTCACCACATCGGTCGAGGCAGCCGGGCTTTGCGACGGGGTAGTTTGGAGATGTTGTTGAGGTTACTGTAAGAAGAAGCATTGTGAGAGATGTTAGTAGCTGGATTTGCAAGGCTGGAAATGCCATTGATCAATCTTGGTTTTTGCTTCACTTCTTTCTTTTGGTTTTTGGTTACTGTAAGAAGAAGCATTCGTTTGTTTATATAGTGTGGCAAATTGAATAGTGCAAAAGGTTGAGCTTGTGGGCTTCAGCTTTATAGTGGGAAATATGATGTTTCTTACCATGCCAAGTTTGTGGGGTCGAGTTTTAAATAGGGATGGACGGATGGGCTAGTGTAGGGCCATATTTTCTGTTAAAAGTTAAAACACTCAAATTCATGTGCAACACGATTTAATTGTTGAGTGGATCAACTCGTTATATTCATTCAATGTTTTGAAAACCGAATCGGTCATCGAATCCGTAAGGCTACCGGTTCAATGATGAACTGGTTTAATTAAATATATAATTTTTTATTTATTTATATGTATAATATATAATTTTGTATATTTTCATCATTAATTTTATAGTGCACAATAATATTTATCTAAATAAGAGTTCAATAATCAATAACCTATTTATATTTTACCATACTAATATAGATCATATTTTGATTTTCACCTACAGCTAAGGTTTATTATTTTACTTTTTTAATTATATTTTTTTGGTCTTTTCAATTTTCAAAATTTGGTATCCTATTTATATATGTGTGTATTTATTATATTATGAATGTTCCTCTACCCACGGTGGGCACATGTTAATATGTCCACCGTTTATGTGTCATGCACACATTGGTGATGTATTTTTTTAAACATATTAACATCACCAATGTGTGCATGCCACGTAAGCGGTGAGTCTATTAACACGTGCCCATCGTGAGTAGGAGAGCATTATCTTATATTATATTTATTAAAAAGCAATTTAATTATTGTACTGATTAAAGAGGATGGAGTCAAAGGGAAAATGAGAGAAATAAATGATTTAGTAAATCAAGAGAATGAGAAAAATAAATGTGAAGATGAGAGAGGATAGAAGAACACGGGTCTTCTCTACCCAAAGTGTAGCAGCAACGACTAAACCAAATCCTATGATGTTTTATATTTCACGGAATAAAATATCACCTTCTGAAGTCCAAAATTCAGAACCGCTGGACCATGAAAACCGGTACCGGTTTTCCGGTTTTATTGGTTTTGAACCAGTTCTAACCGGTTCTTGTGCCCACGATTCAAATGCTCAAACCGGACCAATGTTATGGCCGGTCCGGTCCGGTTTTTATAACTATGTATTTATTTTGATGAAACTGTATATTTATAATCTGAATTATTATATTTTTTGTTTATATAGTTTTTTAGATTCTGATATTATAATTAGAAAGTATAAATATTTGTTAAGTAATGTATAATTGTCTAATCCTTGTATTGTACTAGTCCAGCAGTGGTAATGGTGGTTAAATATGTACACTTAATAGTTAAATCCCTATATATATATATAATTGCAGAATGCGCTGAGCTTAAGTGACATGATCGCATGCTTTAGAATTACACTTTGGGAAAAATCATGTTTCGTAATTTGGTTTGGATAAAAAATAATTATATTCTAAATAAATAATTTTAAGTTCGGACGTTCCATAAATATAGAAAAGCTAACTTGTGTAATTTTATACTCCCTCCTATTTTTATTATTTGTCTTTTTGAAAAGCAACACGCTAATTAAGATTTTTTTCTTGCCAATATTAATCATATTTAATGGATGTTATGGGAAATAATTGATATGGGATATGAAGAGATACTATGCATTAAATAGAGGGTTAAAAATGGAAAAATATGAACACAATAGCCAAAACAACATTTATCTAATCAATTATCAATTAAGCCAAAATGACAAATAATAAAAATAAGAGGGAGTAATATTTTGACTCATATAACTCTTAATTTATTTTGTAAATTTACTTACTGCTTTTTAATTATATGACTAATATAGCCCTAAGATTTGTATTTAAATCTCTCACTTTTCCAAATTGATTGTTACGATCAAAATGATTTAATATATAAATTTTTTATACATATATATTAAATTTTTATATATAATATATTAAATAATCATGTCTTGATGAACTTTGTTTTGACATATATATTATCCGTGTAAAATAATAAAAATAATTTTAATAATTAAATTATCTATTCATATTATTCGAACAAATATAATTATATAAACTAACTTAACTAAAATTAAAAAATTACACTACCTCCATTTTTTTTAAAATATCATTTTTACTTTATGAACCATTAATAAAATAAATGACGTTTTGGATATTTTATACATACTTTTCTATTATTACCCCCATTTAACTAATAAATAAACTAAGTTTTTTCATATTAACTCTTCATTTTTTTTCTCAAAACATCCACATCTATCTTCATTAATGACGGCTATTATTGGCAAAAAAAATATTTTTATTTACTGTGCATCTTTTTAAAACGACATTATTAAAAAATAGAGGGAGTATTATATAATATGATAAGTCGTGTAAGTAACGGTGCCAACTAAAATATAAATAATATTATATTTTAAAAAAAAGTTATTTTAAAACTAAAACAATTTTTGTTGTTATTATTATTTAATTTGAAATATAATTTTTTTAACAAGTAGCTTTGGAGTACACGAGTATTGTACTAATGAGTGAGCGTATTAATTTTGAAAATAAGTGGAAATGGACGGCTCACTTTCATTCACATGGATGCTTTGGAGATTTACCTCACTACAACTTGATTAATTTTAGTACACAATTAAAACACAATTAAAACAAATTATTCTTTTTGTCATTAGAATTTAGATGTGTATGGGATTTATGAGAACGAGGAGCAGCCATTTCGGTTGTTAATTTCCAAGCAATCTCCTAGCAAAGGTCTCTTGTTTTCTAAAATTGGTAAAATGGTACTACTTCCTATTTTTAATACATATCGTTTTGAGAAATTGCACACTAATTAAGAATATTTTTTTGGCCAATAATACCCTTATTTAATGAAGATAGAGATGAATGTTTTGAGAAAAAGTGAAGAGTGAATATGAAAAGACGTAATGTATTCATTGGCTAAATAAGGGTAATAATGGAAAAATATGTACAAAAGATCTAAAAAACGACATTTATTTGGCAAATAGTTGATAAAGCTAGAATGACATTTAAGAAAAATAGGAGGAGGTATATTTTTTTCTGGTCAATTTAGTTTTTTAACTATGAAAAAAGTAATAAATTTAGTAAATATGTTATTGCAAAAATAATTTTAAATAAAAATAAATTAAGTTCCTACCGTGTACATTTGGTGTGCAAACAATCTTTGTCCAGTTCGCACGTCCTGATATGCGTTCTAACCTACTCATAGATCTTCAAAATGGGCCGTAAGGAGTTCCTGACGTTAGTATTCGGACAATCAAGTCAGTCCACAATGATGAAAACGATGAACAATTGATATAAAGTTGTGTAAGTATTTAGAGTGTGTAAATGGATACATCTCACCCTTTTATATAAATGTATTACCTTGTTGACCAAAACTGCCGGATGAGCTGCCCAAACTACCCGAGTTGTTCGTTCGTACTGCCCAATTTTGTTAAGTCATGTGGTCTTACCCACATGTGGTTCTTATTCTAAAATATTCCTTCTTATTCATTGGTAATTCTCCTTAGACGGTTTAATCGTGAAGACCTACCGACACGCCTCGAGGTAGAGTGTTTTTTGAGCTAAGTTTGTATGCCCTGCTCTTCTAATCGGTCCATCAACCAATCGTGTCTTAAGGTCGAGTTTTAATCAGGCCATCCAAGGGCCCTAGCTCGACCTATCGGTACTCTTTGGACGCGCAACGTTCTCATTGACCTGAGGACTATTCGACCTGTAACTTATTCGATCTTCATTCGATCTACCAGTTTACCAAGTTCGGTCAGCTAGTTTCTCGGGTCAGGTCGACCCGGTATGGTATCCCATATCAATATTATCACAAAGTTACATAATGACGTTTTAATACAAAGGGAAAGAGATATCATATTAGTGTTCCATTAATGTAAAAAATATGAAAAAGTAAAATGAATCTAAAGAAAACGAAATAATAAATAAGTAGAACCACTGGTCCTACAACATGATCCTTAAGACTATCAAGCATGCTAGAATCAATGTCAACCTTTTTGGCTTATAGCTACCATCATAACATAATTAAACAAGCCCATTTTGCCCTTCTGCTTGAACTAGTTAGTCCCCAAGCCACTTTTGAGTTCTCCATCAACAATCTGCTAGAGAATCAAGCATACTCAAGTTCATAGAATGAACATCAACTTAACTTCAACATTCATGCAAGAATATATATACATATGTTTCAACAAACCATACTCTACTACCTAACTCAACTAGACAAACATACACCAATCGACGTATATAAAGCGCGCACGCGCAACAAAACGCACGAACGAGAATGTTGTTACATTATATGCATCACCGTAACCGAGACCAGTCGAGCATCGATCTATCTCCCTCCACCGACAACCGGGACTACAATGTGATCCTTTATATCAAACCCGATGCTATTATTATCACCAAGCAAAGACTCCATCTCCTCTGCTTCGCCTGCGTGCTCGACAGTAACCCAATCGTGCTTTCTCCTGGCTCTAATCACTCTCGCCAATTCCATCGACACCTCCTTCACACTCGGCCGCTCATCCCCTCTCACATTCAGACAGCTACTCGCCAGCTCAGCAACTTCTACAACGCCTTCATCCCTGAAAGCAACAATTTCGAACAACCGCTCTCGTTTCATTGCGGAAAGAAAATAATGCGCCAGATTCATCTCCTCCTCGGGCCTCTCGTAGCTCAACGCCTTCATCCCCGTCAGCAGCTCGACTAGCACGACTCCAAAACTGTAGACGTCGCTTTTCTCGGTCAGCTGGTTCGTCAGCATGTACTCTGGGTCCAAATAACCAAGCGTTCCTTGGACAACTGTCGACAGTTGTGTATGGTCCAACGGCACGAGATTCGAGGCTCCAAAATCGGACACTTTTGCCGCGAAAGTCTCGTCTAGCAGAATATTTGCCGATTTCACGTCCCTGTGTATGATGGGGCTCGAGGCCGACGAGTGTACACTACAAGAAAATGATGAAATTCAAACGGAAATATATTTCAAAGAATTATTCCAACGACATTTCCAACGGATATTTCAATACTATTATTTCCGTTAGAATTTTTCAATGGCTTCCAACGGAAATTCCAACGAAAATATTCCGTTGGAATGAGTTTCCCATTGGAATTTTCGTTGGATTTTGACGATTCCAACAGTGGAATTTCCAACGGGGGTGGAAAAAAAAATTCCAACTGAATTTGCATATTCCAACGGAAATTCCTACGGTAAAAAGCCGTTAGAATTATAGCCGTTGGAATCATCAAATTCCATCTAGAATTCCAATGAAAAACACATTCCAACAGAATATTTCCGTTGGAATTTCTGTTGGAACTATTCCAACGGAAGCTATTCCATTGGAATATCCGTTGGAATTTCCATTGGAATATATTACCATAGGATTTTTCGTTGGAATATAACATTTATTTTGTAGTGGTAGGTACGAGAGCACGCTAGCTGTCTCGGCGGCGATTTTAACTCGCACGTCCCACGCCAGTTGTCGTCCAGCCCTGTTGTGGATGTGTTCAAAAAGTGTGCCATTGCTCACAAACTCATATACTAACAGAGGGACGCGCGTCTCGAGATAGCAGCCGAGGAGTTTGACAACATTCCTGTGGTTGATTCGGGTCAGGACAACAACCTCGTTGATGAACTGCTCGATTTGGTTCCGATCGACTTCTTTCGATTTTTTGACGGCCACGATTCTGTTTTCCGGCAAGATGCCTTTGTAGACCGTGCTGAATCTGCCTTGTCCGATTATCATGCTGCTGTGGAAGTTTTTCGTCGCCTTTTGCAGCTCGTGTGAGCTGAAAATCGTGGTTGTGTCGGAAGAGGACAGTTTTTCCTTCAGCAAAATTCCGCCGTTCTGCACGAAAAATTTTCCTAGCATTTTGAGTAGCCTTCTTCTCTTGAGTAGCAAATGCAGCCAGCAAGCAGATAGTAGTAGAAGAATCACCCCTGAAGCAATACCTGATTGGAGTGTCCTATCTTTAGAGAGTACTTATTTAGTTTTCTTGTTTTTGTGTAGGCTTGCCTCTCTTTATTGTACAAAAAAAAAAATTATA